GAACGGATACAATTCTGATGCACCCCTTTCCTGATTTTAAACCATGCACTTTAAAATTGTTCTATTCTTGTTCTGTTCGAATGACTGCCTCTTGGTCTATGTACAATTGCTTATGAGCACAGTCAAGTGTTCTGGAATTCCCATTCTTCCCAATATTACCCATAATTTGTTATGATCCACACAGTCAAATGCCTTTGCATAGTCAATAAAACACGGTTAAACATATTTCTGGCATTCTCTGCTTTCAGCCAAGATTCATCTGACATCAGCAATGATAGCCCTAGTTCCATGTCCTCTTCTGAATCTGGCTTGAATTTCTAGCAGTTCTCTGTTGATGTACTGCTACAAGCGTTTTTTAATGATCTTTCAGCAAAATTTTACTTTTGTGTGCTATTGATGATATTGTTTGATAATTTCTGCATTCTGTTGGATCACCTTTCTTTGGAATGGGCACAAATATGATTCTTTTCCAGTCGGTTGGCCAGCTAGCTATCTTTCAAATTTCTTGGCATAGACAAGTGGGCGCTTTCAGCGCTGCTTCGGTTTGTTGAGCCATCTCAATTGTATTCCGTCAGTTCCTGGAGCCTTGTTTTTCACCAAATGCCTTCAGTGCAGCTTGGACTTCTTCCTTCAGTACCATTGGTTCTTGATCATATGCCACTTCCCAAAATGGCTGAATGTCTTCCAATTCTTTTTGGTACAATGCCTGGCAGGGTGCTAAGTGACCATGAAAATGGCTATTTTTTGCCCCTGAACCTTTGGCCCCCAGCGCAGCGCTAGGAACTTCTTATAAGCTGAAAGAGTGTTTAAGGGATAAGTTAAATCTCAGTCCCTCCCTAGCTGGAAAGACCGACATTAAAATAAAGCCGGAAATTGCTCTGGGCTACATTAGTACCCTCTGAGTGTAGATTCAGGTCACCCGCAGTTTGTCGCCGCCAAAGATTGTAGGGTGAGGAATTAGCGTCTGTTTTAAAGGCTGACGCATACACGGCAGTCAGGGGCGAGTTCCGAGCCCACAAAGTGACATGGTCACGAAATCTACTTCTAGAGTAGTAGTTTCTTAACCATTTTGCAGCCCCGATTGCATTGGTGAAAACTACGAGTTCTCACCCAGAAAAATGCACATTCGCATACCCTCATATTTACTAACGATTTCAGGGAGCCCATAGGTGAGAAACGTTTAGTCTCGGGGAAAATTATTTCTGCAAAAGCATGTGGCATCTGGGCGCAAATGCGTGCCCCAAATAGCTGCAGGCAATGCACTGCCGCCACGCAGTGGCCACACGGCGGCCTTCGCCAACTCCCTCACGCAGCTCCGCACGCAATGCCCGAACCAGGGACTTGAAGCGAAATTGCTGAAAAACCCTAAAGCCCCACACTGGGTCTGATATCCCTGGATGGTGGATGTGATGGGAGCAGGTTTTCTGTTTCCAAGGCGCATTGTCCCGGGGATCCGCCGTCAGACGCCTGGCTCGCAGCGCCTGACGCGCCCGCGTCCTCTCGGGCCGTTTCTAGTGCTCGGGTTCTGCAGCTACCCTGCTCGTAGGCCCTGCTGAGAGGCAGGAGCCAGAGCGAGCCTCAGACACGCGGTTTGCCAACCCTGAGCTTCTAGTCCCGCACTGCGGCGCCGCCCTAGGGGTTAAAAAGGAGGAGAACGGAATAAGGGAAACTCGGAAGTTAGGGGTCGCTGTTGCTTCTCCGAGACCAGAGGCCACCAACCTAAGGAAGAGAGGAGAGGTGTAGTGCTACGAGGGTGTGTCCCATGAAATGCCGAAGCTGCTGGCAACTGGGGTGCAGACTTGTCTGAGGGTACCTGGAATTCTGTGGCTCACTCACAGCAAACCCAGGGCTGGTTTCTGCTCTGCCTTGGGAAATCACAAAGCGAGGTCCTTGCCTCCCCCCGCCCCCACACCCCTCGAAGGCCTCCGCTGCGCTCGCTGTACCCGCACAGGCGGAGTCTGGAGCTGCAGCTGCTAAGCCAGTGCTGCACTCTCAGAGCCGGCTGAGAAGCTGCTTTTTCCCCACACTACCCGCTGCAGACAGCAAGTACTTTAGTCGGGACTTGGGACCTTTGCGCAGCTCCAGAGCCCAACGCTCAGGCAGAACGCTCCTGAGACCCGGCTGGGCAGCGTGAGAAAGGGTTCGAGGCCGGGCACAATTGAGCGCGAACGTAGAAGCACGCCTATTCACGAGAGTGGGGGAGGGTGTGATGGGCACAGGTTCTCATTATCCGGTGTGTGGATGTGATTGTGTGAGAGACTTGGAGGCTGGGTTGCTGTGCGTTTGAGAGTGAATCCATGCGGATGAACCTATGTGCTAGGGTCTATTTTGTGATTGCCAGTGCTTCGTGGAAGGTCACGGTCTTCAAAAACACTAAAGAGTATAATTCTACTCCGCTCACGTGGGATTGCCATGAGTCAGAATCACTTCCACCGGCAACGAATTTGGACGTTCGTCTGTTTGTTTTGGTGTTTTGCGGAGTCGGCACATGTTTGGGGACAGTAATGAATTTGTGTGGAGTCCTGGTGGCACACTGGTTAAAGCTATCGACTGCTAACTGAAAGGTCGGCAGCAGCGGCTTCGGAGGAGAAGGATGGGGCAGTCTCCTTCCGTAGGGATTTATAGCCTTGGAAACCCTATTAGGGTATCTGAGTCGGAATCGACTTGAGGACAGTGGGGTTTTCGAATGACTTTGTGTGTGTGTGGATGAAGACGACTGGGAGTGACTGTGAGCTTTGATCTAGGCAGAGACTTCTCAGCGCTGCCAAACCAGCCCTGCTCTTTAGTTCAGGACCGAAGTGCGGAGGATGGGTGCGGGACCAGAATCGAACGCCACTGGGTCATCTTGGCAAATAGCAGCCGGAAACAAGGGACAGCTGTACAAATGGCTCAGGCAGGCAGATTGAGCGCAAGGTGATGGATGGCGGGGTAGAAAGGGGGAGGAGAGGTCTGGACCGAGGTTTCGGCAGCACCTGAGACTTCCACCATCTCCCTCAGGCTCAGGGGGCCATAGGCCGTCTCCTCACCCGTATGACTGATCTGGACCGCACCCCCGGACTGCCCAGCCCCGCAAGGCGGGTATAGGAAAGGATCGATCGAGATCTTACGAAATCCACTATGTGGGCCACAAAACTATTCTAGATTCCCTACCTAGGTAGGGGCCAGGCTCTGGGCTATTTTTCACAAGATGGCAACATGGTCCCAATTTCAAAGAACTACATTGAGGCTCTGCGAAGTTACTTGTCCGTAGAACATACAGCCTGGAATTGGCGCAGCTGGAACTGAGCTCGCGTTTGACAAAGTTATTGCTCCCACCTCCATCTCCTTTGTACGAGCTCTGCCCCTTTGTGGGTGATTCCAGCTGCGGGAGTCAGACACCATGCTTGGGCTGGGAATCCACCCTGCCACGCATTCACTCTCCAAGCCTAGGAGGCTAGGGTCAGACTCAGGAGGAAGCAGGAACCCCTGCAGTTCTCGGACCCTGCCCTCCAAAACCACACAAGCCGGGATGGAGTGGGACGCGTGTTCAAAACCTGGTGGGAATGACGAGGTGAAATCTACTGTGATGTCAAACTGCGCTCAAATTCCCGCTCACTTTTAGGGCGTTTCTAGTTGGTCCCCACCATCCCCCACTTCCATCAATGACCTCAATGCAAATCCGAGTGGGGCCGTCCTGAAGGGTGTTACAGGTTCTAGAAGTGTGGAGGGTGACGCAATCCAGCTCGGGCACGGGACTTCACCGCCCATTGGTTGCCCAGTGCTCAGCGTACCCCGCCCCTGACCGACAGCCGCGAGAATAAGAGCAGCCTCTGGCGCTGGGAGACATCGGAGTCCCTGCCAAACTCAAGCGTCACTACCGCTTCCACAGCAGTGCCTTTGCTGGACGCTGCCGCTGCCTCTGCTCCAAACCACCGGCCGCCAGGTGAGCGTCGAGATTTCCGCTCAGGTGTGTCACATCCTATTTCTCTCTCCCCCTTTTCCCCTTCCTCTCTCTGCATTAGTCTATCTGTTGGTTTATCTTCCTGCCAATCTGTTTCCTTCTGTCTAGGATCCTTCATCAGTCTCTGTTGGCCGGTGGGTTCATCCTAGGCTCCTGCCCCAAGTAGCACTAGACAGGCTCAATCCTTGCTCTGCTCCCGCACACGGCTGCGGGCCCCAGTCTTGCTCTCTCCCGCTGCACACATGCCTAGGCCAATCTTGGGACCTGTGGCACCCTCCAGCACCGCACGTGGGGCAGGTAGCAAGAGCAGCTTTCCAGAATGTGCGCTTGGGATCACATCTGGTACCTGGTGGTCCCCGGGAAATTGGTTCAGAACCTAGACCAGCGCGAATGGGTGGCAAACGGGCGAAACGACCGAGGGACAGTTAGCCCTAAACTGCAACCCCAGTAGCTCAGGAAGCGCAGAATGAAGTCTCCGGTCCCAACTTAAAATAAGTTTGGTTCTTGCAGGCGACTGAGTTGCCAGAGGTCGGAGCTGCTGAGCTCTAGAATCTGACTCTTCAGTTTCTTAGAGATTCCTTCAGCGGAGAGATTCCGTCTACCTACACTCCTCCCACCCACCCCCCACCCTCCTCGGCACTGAGGCAAAAGCCCCACACAGGGAGGACAGCTGGGGGTTTCTCAGACCCTGATATGGCAGGCGTTAATGGGAGCCGCTGTTGTGACAGAGGGCTCTGGGAGTGACCTCAGCAGAAACCTGCCCAGCAGGAGAGGAGGGGGCTGGTTTTTTTGGGGGGGGGCATTAGAACTGAGACCTCCCAACCCAGCTGTTCCAGTAGGACAGCTCTTCCACCTCTGCCAAACCGTGCGGACCACAGGCTCACCAGACCTTCCAGCGGTCCACCCAGCTGCTGAGGAAACACGGGTGAAAAGAAATGAAGTGACCAGCTGTAGCCAGGAAGCCGGGGAGTTAGAGGCGGGAGCAGGACTGAAGCCCAGGTCGGTGGGCTTTGAATTGGTTCAGGCGGATGACGTCATTCTTCCCTTGCAGAGAGGCATCATGGGTTTCTGGAAGTCCTCCCCCTTCCTGGCTCTCAGCTTCTTGGTCCTGTACCAGGTTGGCAGCCTACAGGCCGCGCCATTCAGGTGAGAGACAGCGCTGCTGCAGCAGCGCACCCTACTCCCACTGCTCCTGGGATCAGACAGTTCCCCGCCTCAGAATTATAGTGTGTGCTGAATGGTTAACAACCGACTCTGAAAAAGTATCTATGTATACATGCATACAAGTTTATTATAAACTTTTCTGACATAAAGATGTTTAGCATATAATTTACAAATATTAATAAAATATATAATACTCCTTATTGTAAATTTTGGGGCCCTGGTGGTGGCACAGTGGTTAAGCATTTGGCTGCTAACCAAAAGGTTGGCAGTTCGATTTTACTGTAAATTTCATACAGCCCATTGAGGTTCACAGATGCTTTCATTACTTTTTACTGAACTCTTTTATCTGTAGCCAACTTATTTATCTAATTCGACCATGATCTGAAAAATGAAATTGCATCCCAGTTTGCTATTTTGTTAATAAATATATTGTTATTATATCTGACATGTGAACTACTGTTAATCTATTTCTTACCCTCATATAAATTGTATTTATTAAACAGAAAACTTTTCCAGCTTCAGCACTAGTTGTCCACTTATATAATTTAATTTGTGATGGTTATGTTTAACACTCAGTTTGCAAAAATCTGAAAATTTATCAGCTTTTGCAAGCTGATATGACCTGGCTCCAGCACACCACTGCTTGGAGGCCACACCAGGGCCTGGCTCCCAGTAAATCAGCATCCCTGGATGGACACTGGCCTCAGGCCCTGTCCACCTGGGAGTCAAGGCAGCCATATCCTCATTGTTGTTTATCCAGGGGAGGCAGCAGGCAGGGGTCTCAGGGCCTGCCCTGGCTTTGCTTCCTCTCCCCAGGTCTGCCATAGAGAGTAGCCCAGACCTCACTGCACTCAGTGAGGAGGAAGCGCGCCTCCTGTTGGCTGCGCTAGTGAAGGACTTTGTGCAGATAAAGGCCAGTGAGCTGGAGCAGGAGCAGGAGACAGAGGATTCCAGGTAAGCCTCCGACCCCACCCAGGATAGGGCCTCCCTATTTTCCTGGCACACCCAGAGAGCTGGATCCTGAGAGATAGGAGGGAACACACCTGGCTAGGAGCCCTGCAGGAGTTTACCAGGCCCAGCTGTTCTCAGGCTCCACTGAAGACAAAGGTCCAGCTGCAGCTGGAGGGACTGTGGTTAGACTACATTAAAAGTTCTACTTCCAAAGGCTGTTAGGAAGTGAATTGGGAAAGTGTGGAATCACTTACTCTGGGAATTGGTCTGGCCGTATTGAGAAGACCTCCCAGCACTGGGTGAGTTAGGACTGGTAAGTGTGAGGCCCTGTATATCTCAGGAGCTTTTAGAAATGTGGCCCCACTTGATTGACCTGCATGTTGTTCTTTCACACCTGCAAGGAGCCTTCACTCCACATTTGCAAAGTAAAGGCAAAGCCTTGCAGAGGGTGGGGCCACATAGAGCAGTGTCTGAGGTAGGTCTGGGGTCTTTAAATATGAAGGGCCTGCCTGCTCTCTGTGGAGCATCTATGGAGACATGCATGTTGTCACGGGGCCAGAAAGAGCACCCTTCCTCACTCCACCTCCCGGTACACCCTGAGCTTGGAGCAGAGACCACCCCCTGACCTGGCCCCAGCACTGCCCAGAAGAGGCATGCATTGCACCTTTATCCACCCTGAGAACCCCCTCTGCAGAGCATGAAGGACTGACCAGCATGTGGAATGTGGGGAAAGGTCACTCTTTCCCCACCCTAGCCCTTCCTCACACTGCCCTGGCCAGCTATATCTCTGAGTCTCCTGAGGGAGGATGTGTGAGCTGCCCACCTGCCTGCCCCTCCTGCCCCTGCCTGAGGTGCCCCCTCCCTGGTCTAACCTTCCGCGTGACTGCCCACGGGGCAGAGCATGGTGCATGGTACTGTCTGGCATGTCTTTTCCCTGCAGCCTGGACAGCCTCAGAACTAAGCGGTACAGTAGTCTGAGTACCTGCATGCTGGGCACATACTTGCAGGACCTGAACAAGTTTCACACATTTCCCCAAACTGCAATTGGGGTCGGAGCACCTGGCAAGAAAAGGGACATGGCCAGTGACTTGAAGAGAAACCACCACTCTCCGTTTGGCATGCCCCAGGATGCCAACTAAACCTCTCCCTCTCCTTTTCTAATTTCCCCTTCTTGCTTTCTTCCTATAACTTGATGCATGTGGTTCCTCCCTGGTTGCTTTTTGGGCTGGTGCCTGTGGCTTTCCTTGTGGCAGAACATGTCTGGAGCCTTGGATGGGACAGAGAGCAGGACTCACAGGCTGGAAGAAAATCACCCAGGAAGAGATCAGAGAGAGGACAGCCCTCTCAGAGCACTTCATAACAGAGCTTCCTAGTTCTGCTTCTGAATATGCTGGTCATTTGGGGAATAAAACAATTTTTCTAAAAGACCTGAGCTGTGGTGGTCATTGCTCTGGCCCATGCCCCAGGCTTCATGGTGTCCAGGACCTGTGCTTAAAAGTGGCCTTAGGCCCAAAGTAGCTGGACACGGGGTTTGGTGGGTGATCTCTGTGAACCAGCTCAAACAGCCAGAACAGGCATGCCACGGAGCAGGTAAGCACTTCTGGGATTAGATGTTCCAAACTCTAATCCTCTTCCAGGTAAGACTGGGGAAGTTTTATTTCCCTAAGAAGAGATATTTGGTGCCTGTGGCTGAGGAGTGGCTTCTAAATAGTTCTTGTGAGCTTTAATGGGGGTTGGGTGTGCTACCATAACTTGCGGTGGTCTGATAAGCCTTTGCTGATTTTTAGTCCATTTATACAGGAAAGATTGGATTTTATAGCTCTATATTCCATGGCCAGTGACCCAGAGTCACCTTTGGGTTTTTTAGCACCCCTGGGAAGGGAGCCTGGCGTTTTCCCTAATGGCCCTTGTGATTTTCTGCTTTGATAACTGTGTTTAGGAGGAACACTTAAGGTTAATTGGTGCCTCTCAGAACAGCAACTTTACCATGATGGTCCCATGGGGCAGGCTCCTTCCCCAGCCTCTCACTGACAGACCTTCTCTTCTTTCTCCGACCTGCAAATCAGTGTCACTGCCCAGAAGAGAGCCTGCAACACTGCCACCTGTGTGACCCAGCGGCTGGCAGGCTTGCTGAGCAGATCAGGGGGCATGGTGAAGAGCAACTTTGTGCCCACTGACGTGGGCTCCAAGGCCTTTGGCCGGCGCCGCAGGGACCTTCAGGCCTGAGCAGCTGAGCGACACCTTGGAGAAGGTGACTGCCTTGTACTGTTGAATAGGAGGATGGATGGTAAGGTATTGCAGGGGTGTAGTCAACACATGAAGGAGCCCTGGTGGTGCAGTGGTTAAAGCACTCAGCTGCTAACTGAAAGGTCGGCAGTTCGGACCCACCAGCTGCTCTGCAGGAGAGAGATGTGGCAGTCTGCTTCTGTAAACATTACAGCCTTGGAAACCCTATGGGGCAGTTCTACTCTGTCCTGTAGGGTCACTGTGAGTTGGAATCGACTCAATGGCAGTGGGTTTTGTTTTGTTTTTTTTTAGTCAACACACACTGGGCCCATATGTTTAAAAAAAAATTCATGGGGAAGGTACTTACTCCAGCGTGTTTGTGTGTATGTGTGTGTGTGTGTTAAGGAAGGTGAGATGCAATGACTGAAGAGGGTCCCAATATCTGAAACCCCTAGAATTTGGGTTTATCTTCTTTCTGTTTTTCTAGTCTCTCCTGGTGGCACTGAGGTCATCAGTCTAGAAAATACAGATCTTATTATTTAAAGAAGTCACTGGGTGGTACAAATGGTTAACACACTAAAACTGCTAACCAAAAGGTTGGCAGTTCGAGTCTGCTCAGAGGTGCCTCGGAAGAAAGGCCTGGCAATTCACTTCTGAAAAATCAGCCATTGAAAACCCTATTGAGCACAGTTCTACTCTGATACACATTCGGTTGCCATGAGTCAGAATTAACTTGACGGCAACTGGTTGGTGGTTATATTTAAACTGGTTTATTTAAAATGATGTTTCTGCAGTTATAATTCAATGATTCTAGCATTTGAGTTTGAAAAATAATGACACGGTCTTTTTGGACCATATACTACAATGTCATGTACCTCTGAATTAAGAGCATAGACTTAGGTTCAAGAACTGTGTTTGCCCCTTACTAGCTATAGGACCATGAGCTTTCCCTTAACCTCCCTGAGCCTCAGTTTCCCCCATCTGTAAATCAAGGGCAACAATGGCACCTATCACCTAGCATTAGGGTAAAGAGTAGATGAGATAATATAGGTCAAGGGCCTGACAAGTAAATAAATGCTAGCTTTTTTTTTTTTCCCTGCTAGGTCACCATGAAGCTGAAAACTTCATTTGCAACGAAAGCAACTTATAGGAAAGGCTCCATGGAAGATAGATGTATTTGTATCCCTCTGAATACGGAAAACTATCTTCTTTGTTTGAAAGGAACAAAAGCTAAATGCAAAATAAGCTCATTGCAGTTATCTATTGTGCATCTTTCTTATATTTGATTCTGTGCCCAATAAATATGATAGCATGTCTCAGTGGCTTATCTAGTAGCAAATCAGCCCCCCTCCCCCATCAGCCATTCTGTTGATGTGGCAGCTCTGCTAAACCTCAGAAGGACATGAAATCACTGCCTCTTGGGCGTCTGGGGACACATAGTAATGCTGTGCCTTGACTGAACTATTTGTTTAAAGAAATGTCAACCTTGTCATTTGTGAACTTCATCAAGATTAAAAACGTATTTTGATACACTTAAATGGAGTCCCTGCTGCTCTTTATGCTGTTTTTCCCAGGAGACCTTCTGGGGCCTGTGAGCCATTTGTTGACCAGGCTGATTCACTCAAAGCAAAGGCAACATGCTTGAGATGGAGCCTCAGTGCCCTGTACCCTCGGTTTCCAGTGAAACATCCCTTATCTGAATTAGAACCCCATGAGTCTCAAAGAAGACGATTCACATTCATTTTCAGAGGGTGCCCTGATACCCAGGCACCAAGATTATCCATGCACTTCTCCTTGGTTCAGGTTTGCCCTTCCCCATCTCTTCCTTTCCTCCCCATAAGAGTACCTTCATGCACACCTTAGCCTGCAAAGCCCTTTAGAAAAAATGGCTGAGTGTTTGAAATGGGGACCGCAGACTGGCATAGTTGGAAAGATCATCAGATGCCATCCAATCTAATTTTATTCTCTGAGGTACAGAGACATGCCTTGTTCAAGGCCCTGCAATATGTTTAACAGAGACTTTCATATAGTCAATAAATATTTATTGATGTCTGCTATATTCCAGGCAGTGTTCTAGGCACTGGGACTATAGCAGTGAGCAGAACAGACAACACTCCTTGCCCTCATGGAGCTTACATTCTAGTTGGGGGAGATTAATGTGATCATGCTATGGAATCATAGACTCTCAGCATTGGAAGGAATCTGGGATGTCGTAAGGTCTGGTGCCATATTTGATGTAGGAATTTCCCAGCATTGACATCCCTGTCTTCTGCTGGGACATCTAATGACAGGCTGCTGACTGTGACTCCCAAGGTGACTGAGGCAGCCAGTTTCACTGGTGGACAGTCAGTTAGTTAGGGTTGCATAGGTAGGAGGTAGAAAAGTCAGCCCCTTCCAGCCACTGACTCTAGTTACTTCCTCAGGATCACATAAAATTATGTGTCTGTGTTTCCACCTTGCTTCCCTTCAGTCTATTCTTAACACAGTAGCCCAACCGAGGCCGTAAAAGGTAGATCAGACAATGTCTCTCTTACGTGCAAAGCCCTCCACTGACTTCCCATCTCACTGAGTAAGTGCCTAAGCCAATGCAATGGCCCACAAGGTCCTACTTGATCTTACCTCCCCCTCTTCCCACCACCATCCCCATTACCTGCCTGGCCTCATCTCCTACTACTCTCCCACACACTGGCTTCCTCACAATTCCTCAAACCCACAAGGCACTCAACCACCTCAAGTCCTTGCACTTGCTGGTCCCTCTGTACAGAATGCTCTGTGCAGAATCCACCCCTCCCCCATCTCCTCCAAATGTTTACTCAGATGTCATCTGCCCTGACCATCCTTTCTGAAATTGTACCCCAACACACCCTAGGCCTCTTTTTTTGCTTTATTTTTTTCTCTTTATCACTTATTACCTTTTACTGTGCTACATGGAACACTGGTGGCATAGTGATTAAGAGCTTGGCTGCTAACCAAAAGGTTGGCAGTTTGAATCCACCAGCCACTCCTTGGAAACCCTATATTTTGCTAATTTATTTACTTTATTGTTTGTGTTCCCCCACCTACCCCATTCCTGAGAATGTAAGCTCCACAAGGGGAGGGATATGACCTATTTATTGCTATATTGCCAACACACAGAGCAGTGTACCTGGCACAAAGCAGCACTCAATAAGTATTTGTTGAATGAAAGAGTAAATGAAAGAATGGAGGTGTCTTCTACCCTTCAGTGTTTGTGGTCAACTCTCAGGTTCCCTCTGGGCTTGATTTTCTTCAGATGAAATTGCCCAAGTGCCTTCCTCTTCAGCAATTACATGAGGGATAGCGAATCCCTCACCTTCTGGAAACTTCTACAACGGCCACCAGTCTGTTGGTGACCTGTTTCCTGCCGAAGGCCCTCACACAGGCTGTTGCTTCAGTTTTTCCTCTGCTTGATTAATTTTGACCAGCTTTTCTACTTCTTCCCCTACAGTAAAAAAAAGCAGGCAGGCAGGATGCACTATAGGTATAATGCCTATGACTGCGTAGGTAAATTCAGATCAGGAAGGGAAATAGTGGAAAGACCATTTTAGTCTTGGGTCCAAGACAGTTTCACCAATTAAATTGTATTAAATTCCCACCTGGCCCCTGTGGATAATTCTCAGTTGATTCAGAGCTCAAACCATAAGGTAAGATGCATTGGCTCAGTGTTACGGATTGAATTGTGTCCCCCAAAAATGTGTCAATTTGGCTAGGCCATGATTCCCGATATTGTGTGATTGTCCACCATTTTGTTATCTGATGTGATTTTCCTATGTGTTGTAAATCCTGCCTCTGTGAGGTTAATGAGGCAGGATTAGAGGCAGTTATGTTAATGAGGCAGGACTCAATCTACAACATTAGGTTGTGTCTTAAGTCAATCTCTTTTGAGATATAAAAG